AAAAAAAATTTACCAATTTTATACAGGCATGCTTCCTTTTACACACACCTCTCCACATGACTTTTTCACATGACATACATATCCAACACTACAGTCTTCTTGACTTTATTTTTGTTTTCTTTTCCTTTTTTACAAACTTACTGGTTACCGCACTCCGGATGATCGCCGTCCTACGGGCGGGCTCTTCATAGTTACCATGTAGGGCAGGTACTGCCCCTGCTGATCCTTACCCTTCACTGAATGGGCCGTTATTCCTGTCCCTCAACTTGTTAGCCTTTTCCTTTAGCCTATAGGGCCTTTACGGCCCGTACTGGCTTCTACTTTATAATAAAAAGTACCCATTGTTTGATTCCATGCTTGATTGAACGAAAGTGAAGATGATGTTGGAACTTTCAGTGGTATATCGAGAGCATATCGTATTTTTGGGACACGCAACGTTGATGTTAGAAGTAGATTGAAGATATTTGACGCACACCAGTATAATGCAACTGCCTGGAAAAAGTGAAATGTGTGCAGGGCAGTTCTGGCATTTTTGAAATTATTGATGGTTTTGATAAAAGAATAAATCTACTTCATTAAAAAACATATCTGAAATTTTCTTTATTTGGCTTATCAGATTTTTTTTTGAACAAAAAATGATATTAAAACTACTGGAAAACCTTACAGCAGGAACTCGTGTGCTAAAGAAAAATACAACAGCAGGTATACCAATATATTTGAAAGCTTTCACATATTTATTAGCAGAAGCGGCACCGGTTGGATCGTAGCCCATCTGTAAATTAAGCTACAGTACAAAAAAAGTGTTAAATTTTCAAAATTTAACAATAAAATTCTCCATTCTAGAAAAAACAAAATTGCAGGAGAATACGAAATATTTAGTGAATGAGGAAACCTAATGTTGGCTATTGCTGTATCAGTTGGGCGAAATGCAACACAGTGATGATTTCAGCAAATTATCAGTGAACAAATAAAAAATAAATCAACACTTAAAAAAAATTTTTTTTAAAAAAGTCTTATTTTTTTTAAAAAAAAAGTCTTTTATTTTCACCAGTACGTGACAGCATTTTGTCACTGATTACATATCTCTTATCAATGACGAGCTATGGCCAAATTTTGGTGCAAGAAATGTAAGCTGGTCACGTAATAAGGATGACTGTAACGCGCAGAGGAGGGACGGAGGGCTTACGCGGCTCGGTGCTCCTGTGGTGTAGCGGGGACCACACACCCAAATCAACAAACAAAGCCTTATTTAAAAAAGCCCACAACAGGAAAATCAATCCGTGGGAAAAATTCGTACTGTACGCCTTGTGGCAGCAGCTCCAAGCTGTAGCAGTATTACTTGGCACACAAAAACAAATATCATTTCACTTCTAATCACATCATTATATACAACGGAAGGGGAACTCGAGTCAGGAGACGGGAGGCGAAGGGGTTCAGCCGGCAGGTTTATTTCCATGCTGTCAACACCTTGTTCCTTTTGCAACATAACAGATAAAAGAATAAATTGTATGAATATTGCGCTAGAAGAACAGTAGAAATGCTATTGGCGCGCTGGACCAATCAAATAATTTGAATGTTCTTGATGTGGAAAGCATAAAATTACAGCCGGTGAAAAAGGTTTGGTATAAGAAGTATGAAATATCTCAAGCAAAACTTGCAAAAAATGAAATATTTCATTTTTTGCAAATTTTGCTTTTTTAAAAAGAGTAGAATCGCTCACGTAAAGTGTTCCAACAATAACAGCGGCTGATAGTGCCGGCACAGCGAAATATGGATCAGTTGCTGTCAAATCCATGAACCACAGCGCACCTCCTGTATCCCAACCAGGAAAACTGTAAATAATCAGCAAATGATTAAAAAAAAAAGAAAAAAACTTCAAGAAATGGTGCACATACATCGAACAGGCAGTGAATGTCAACTGGTAGTAAGCTTAACACAGTTAAGTAAAGCGCGCATTCCAGTAAAATTATCTACAGTTGAATTTCTTCACCAACTACCCGGATGGAGTTATTAGAAATTACCCGTAAAGGCATGTTTCCGCGGCAGAATCACTCAAAAATGCACTTATTTCCCCAAAAAGATATTTCAAATT